TTATATCCAATCCCATCTTTCTATGAAGGACTTGACATTTTAGCCCAGCTTTGGCCAGACAGAATAGGCTCAAGCTGGGTCAGTCTATTCACTTGTTCATGATTTCTCTTCACACTCCTTCCTTTCTTTCCTGAGACTGGCAATGGATGATGAGGCTCAGWTATTCCCAGAAAAGTCGTAAGCAGGGAAATATTCAACTGATTTCCAAGACCAGCACTAACAAAACCCTCACCTACTCATCTCAAAATCATTGTGAACTGATAGTAAAAGAAACTAAATATATTCAAAGTCAGTGTAATGTCTTCCCCAATTAGTTAGCTGTCAAGCAAAATTGAGTGTGTTCAGAGGTGGAGAAAACTGTGTGTGTGTAACAGAGAAGATATTCCAAATTTTCTTAATTTGCACAGCTTTTATTTTCTTTACATGCACAAAGATAGAAAGCAGGCTTTCTATGAACTGCCAACAGATTCAGTATTCATTTTAAATTATTTGTATGAAATTCAAGACTTTACTGTAAATTTTTCATAATTTATTTCATTAAATAGCCTTTTACTTGCACTAAATGCTTTTATATCCATGCAATGAGATCAGCAGAGAAGCCACTTTGTAATGTGTGAGAAAGATCTGTCTTATAAAATTCTAATGACACTTCAAGAGACTGAGCAGTGAAGGATAAAGAAGGAGACAGAAAATGTGAAGTGAGCTAACCGGAGGAAGCAAAAGGTAAGGGGACATGGAGAGGCTGGCAGTGACTGTCAAAAAAGAAAAAGGGGTAGAGATTTTCAGGGAAAGGGTAATCATTCCAAAATCAGAGAAAGCCTGTATTTTATTTGTTCTGCAGGTTACTTTGCACAATGTCAGGCATTATTTTTGCAAAATAAGTATTTGACCTAATTGAGCCCGGTGTTGGCACAGAGGAGAAAAGGAAAGAAAGGCAGAACTAGAGCCTTTCTTCGCCAAGGAGAAAAAGGAAGATCACAAAGGAGTGATGTGGAATAGGGAATAGAGAGTGTAGTAACTAAAGTAGTAAACCAAACAATAGACAAAAAAGGGGAGTCAAGAGCTCTACTCAGGTGAAGTCAGTCCTTTCCTGCATTGCTCTGAACTCACTGGCAGTGACACACCAAAACCTGCCCGAAGGCACCTGTATGGTTTGGATGTGAGGTGTCCCCCAAAGCTCACATGTTCAGAGGTAGGGCTCTTTGTAAGTGGTTGTATTAATAGGGCTCTGACATGGTGATCCTCTGACAAGGATTAATCCATTCATGGCTTTGAATAGACTATTGGCAGGTAGTAAAGTCTGTTGGAGGTAGGACTTAACTGAAAGAAGCAGGTTTAGAGAAGAAATAATTGGGTTGTTAAGAKTCCTAACCCAATCAGTGATATAATCTCCTAATAGGAATTAACTGAGTCATAACTGAAATGGTGGGTGTGGCTGGAGAAGGTGGGATTTGAGGCATGGCTTTGTGTATATATTTGCATTGGGCTTTCCAATCTCTGTATATATTTGCATTTGGTTTTCCAAGTCTCTGCTTTCCAATCATGATGTGAGCTGCTTCCCTCCATCACACTCTCCTGCCATGATGTTCAGCCTTGCCTGTAGCCCTAAGGAATGGAGTCAGCCTTCTATGAACTAAGACCTCTAAAACCGTGAGCCCTCAAATAAACCTTTTCCTCCTCTACAATTGTTCTGGTCAGATCTTTTTGTCACAGCAACAAAATAGCTGACTAAAAMAGCACCACAGGCCAGACTGCAAATAGAGGTGCTGTCCTAGACTGCAGTTAATTGTCCCTTGAGATGGTGCCTAAGGCAAGTATCCAGCTTTTGGGAATGGCATTACCCCCTCTAACCCAGTACAATATGAGCAAATCTTTTCAGTATCAAGGCTTACACTGGATACAAAAGGGAAGTGAGGAAAGCAYGAGGGAAGCCCTTCTATTACAACTTAGTATGTGGAGAGAGAAGAATAAACAGTAGTTAGACATTGGTCACATACAAAAGACTATACTAAGTGCTTCATAATATTTTCTAACCTGCAGAACTGTGTAAAACAGGTAATATTATCCCATTTTTGCATATAGTTAAATAAAACCACAGAATTGTACACAACTTGTGATAGAGTACAAATTAATACAAAAATATCTAAATAAGTATATTACAAAGTAAATTGGTACTTATATCTCATCCTTCATTAGAGCTCATTGTTTACTACATGCCTGTAAGATTGCAAGATGCTCAGTTAATATTTATTGGATGAATGATTAAAGTAAGGTACAGTATGTGTAGTAGATTAAGGAAAGATGAGATTTGATTCTGGGGACCTAAGGCAATTTTATGGAATTGGTGACATATGGAATGTTCTCTTAAAGACATGAAGATTATAACGAGCATGGATAATATGGAGGCAGAGAGAAAGATTTTCAATGTTAAAAAGACCCAAATTTGTCTCCAAGATAAGTTTCTATTGCTAACTCCCTATTTTGTCCAGGTCAGTCWCATTTATCTTCCCCCAGCTACATGACAGATGACATTTATCAGTCCTATTCTGTGTAACTTATTTCAAATAGAAAAAAATCAGGGTGAATACAGAGAGTGCATATTTATTTAATTGTGGATGACATAGCCTGTTATGGGTCACTAATATATTGGATCACAAAATAAAGATTCAAAAATAATTCAAAAAAGATGGGCCAAAGCCAATAAGACTGACATTTACAGAGATAAATATAGAGTCATTTATCCACTACATATTGCAGAGGGCATCTGGGTTTCAGGACCCAGGCTAGTTCCTAAGGGTCTAGAGGAGTTGATATTTGAGCTGATGTATTAAGAACTATGTAATGTTTTGAACGACCAACAATAAATTAAAAAAAAAAAGAAAGAAATGGGAGTTTTTTAGACAGAGAAAAACAGCATAAAATACGCATGGAAGAAAGAATGTTATGAGCCAAGTCCTAGAGGCATAGAAAGCCTGATGTTTGGAGGGAAGGCTGCACTGTTTATTTGTTGTATAAATGTGCACTGAATATCAAGCATGTATCAGACAAAGGCCAGGAGCTGAGAATGCAGCCCGGAGTGAGGCAAACCTCAGGATGCTAAAATAAACTTGTGCAAATTACTATAAAGGAAAGTAACAGAATAACAAGGTGATTTATGAGACTCAAAGTACAGATGAGGCTTACATTAGACAAGATCAAAGAGGGCAACATTGCTATAATTTAAATATGTCCCTAAATATTCCATGTGTTGCAAACTAAATCTCMAAATTCATATGTYGATGGTATTTGGAGATTGGCTTCTTGGGAGGTAATTAGTGTCAGATGAAGTCATGAGGATAGCATGATAGCATTCATGGCTTATAAGAAGAGAAAGAACAAAACTAGCTCTCTTGCTCTGACTCACCATGGGATGCTCTCCACCATGGATTGTCGCAGCAAGTTAGTTCTTACAAGATGCAATTCTCCAATCTGGAACTTTCTATCTTCCAGCAGCATGRGAAGTAAACTTCTTATAAATTACCCAATCTCCAGTGTTCTCTCAAAGCAACATAAAATGGACCTGACAGAATGAACAGTCCAAGTTGCTAAGATACTCCTTAGCACTGGAAGTCCATTATCCCAAGCACTCCCTTCATTCCCAAAGGAGTACAATTTGTCACTCTAGCTAGAAGAACTTCATAGAGGAGGTGACACCTCTACAAGGACCTCGTCATGACTATGAGTCACTTTTCAACCATCTACAATTTTACTGGCTAAAAGATAGACAAAGACAAAGACTTTCAGGTACGTTCTTCACAGCAATTCTTACRATTCTATGTCTCTCTGAAGCCCCCAGCTTCACCCCTGAAGATACAGTTGAAGGTTGAGCCAACCTCCAAGGGATCATTATGAGACTCAAAGGAAGCAGGGTGTGGAGTAGAAGGAGCTACCTGTGGGAACAGTTCTTTGGAGTGTGCCCCCTAGAAGCAGTATGTATAACAGCACTTTCTCATTCCACAGTTTCTCTCTTGGGTTCCCACAATGTAACCTCAACTCTGGCACACCTTTCTCCTTTCTCCCTGCAGCTATTGTTGGGGTTCCTCATGGGCAATAACTCCTACTGGTCCCCTTCCATTGCATCCACCTCTCATTTTCATTCACTCTCTCCCATGTGCTCTGTACACTGCAGAGTATACAAGGGCATAATACTAAAAGACTTGGCTTAGAGACAGATGGGAACATTGTTCCATATCCCTTGGGTGTTATCATCATCAACATTAAGAGGAAATCCTGGCTATGACACATACCTACTCATGTTCCTTCAAATGCTCTCTGCTGCCTTTATAATCAACCTCATGCCTGATTTTGGCCCCTACTTGTATTTCTAACCTGTTTTGCCATTCCATGAATTCCCTGACACCTCCCCCTCGGTCTGAATTTGAAGGTTTGTTTTTCTTTGCAAGCCCACGCCTCCAAAATCCTGATCTTTATACAGGACATTACTCTTCCTCCCCACTTTTCTGGTCAACTCCTCCTATACCAGAGTTCCAACCAGATATCCACTCTTCACCTAGGCCTTCACTGACTGTACCAATCTGCTAACAGGATTCCTGGTCACCTTGGTGAACTCTCCATCACAGTATCTCCCAGCAGAGAATGCTTTCCATGATTGTCTTACATTCTCAGCTCCAGTAATAAGCACATAAAAGTACCTGGTATATGCTGTGGGAAATGTCATCCAAATAAATGAAGACTTTCTTCCAGATCCTAAGGATTCTTTTCCTCTTCATGTTATTGCCTTGGTAGTTTTTTCTCCTACACCCACTGTTCAAGTTCAGTGTCACAAATCCTTTAGAATTTTGCCCCGCTTCCAGAGAGATTTTTAACAATTCCTATCTCTGGCCTCCCCAGCTTCTGTTTCTATCTGCTGCTGCAAAGCTTTTCCCCKTGTCTATTTGCAGCTTGCTTACATTTCTATTTCCACACTTCAATGTGAGGTCCTCCATGGAAGGGATCATCTGGTTCAGCTTTGTAGGCTCAGCACTATGTTCAGTGCTTGTGAGGCAGCAACCAGTCACTAAGGGTCCTGAATGAGAGGATAAATGGAAAGAATTCTGTGAAAGTAACCAAAGCATCACCCACTTTAAGCATAAGGAAAAACAGCACTTTCTTTTGTTCAGAATGAAGACAAAGCACACAAATGTCTGCTTTCACAGCTTTTAAAACTAGCTATAAGTAGACTAAGAAATTTTAAAAGAGTCATTAATTCACCCAACACTAGATTTCTTTTACTGTAAAAACACAATTATCACATGATAAACACAAACACACACACACACACACACACACAGAGAGAGAGAGAGAGAGAGAGAGAGAGAGAGAGAGAGAGAGAGAACTTTTGAATAATCCAGCACTAATACAGGATGCTGATAGGGGCTTGTGGGATAAAGTAACTTTCAGTGCAATCACTTCCAGGCTGAAAGGAAAGCAACAAGCATGATCTGATTAGTTAGATCTTTTCTATAAAACTATTGCAGGAAGTGAACAAAATAGCCATACATGTTACTGTATAAGTTTGTTCAAGGGTCAAGAACATGGCCAAGTCTCTGAAGTCTGAACCCTGGTTCCCTTCATTGCCCCTCGAAGCTCACAGTGATTAATGTGACTAAGCTGAGCAATAACTACATGAGAATTTTAATGCTCCATCAAAGTTTGGCTTTTTATTCCAGAGGGAAGGATGTATCAAGAAAGATGCTTCTACCTATAACCTTCATTTCCTTTCTGTAGGTAAATTCCCAGAGGTGTAATATATGGCTATAACATATTACATATTAAAAGCCAGCATCATGACTGGGCCAGTAAAGCCTACTATCCACCCTGGAGAGAACCCTGAATGCATGGGCAGTCCCCAGTGGGATACGAAAAGACTCACAAAAGAGAAGTGCTTTCTTCTCTTATCTCTCACTGGTCAGGCTGTGTCCCTGAGGGAAGAGCTGGCACCCTGGGCAGATGACAAAGACTGTGGAACAGGAGATAGAAMATCTGGGGTAGGAGAGCAGAACTCCTGGTTCCTCCACACCCTGTAAGGCCTTGGTGCTTCAAACCTCAGTCTCCTTGATAACAAACCCCATGGGATTGTCTTCTATGTCTGCCAAGGTCCTTCCCAGTCCTGGTTTCTATGCTCAGGGATGTCTAGAGATGTCGGAGGAGAATGGGGCTGCCATAAGAGAAGTCATAGGTTTGCAATGCAAGGGAAGAATTATTGAGATATTACTGTCTGCAACACACACTGTGCTAAGTTATTTAATTTTATTTAATCCTCAAAGCAATCCAATAAAATTGGTACTATTATTATCCTCATTTTGTATATGAGAAAATTGAATACTAAGAAGCTGTGCAGTTTACTTAGGGGTATATGTCTGGTGAGGGATGGTCTGAGTGGCATTTGGATTTCAGATCTACCTCTTCCAGAACAACCCAGCCACAGTGGTTGAGGACTGGCCCTAAGGTGCTTTGAGACTAAAGAGACAGACACCTAGGATTTCACAGAGTGCAATTTATTAGAGACTTACTGACAGAAGAGTAGTCATTGGTGGTGGCAAGACCAGTTAGATATACACAACTTGGATCAAAAGGAGGTGTCTAYGTATTGATTAGGACAAATGTGACTTCATCCAAACCAGAACATAACTGCTTTTTCTTAAACTGATGTCCAAGAKTCAGGCATATTTCTGGATCTAGAGTTCAGTTATGAAACTCCACTTACTACTCTAATGGTTTGGTCTGTTTATAGCATGCTAGGAAAAACCAACTATGATTATTCTGGGGCACTTATTGCAATTATGACTCTAGATGGCTACAGTCATGTTAAGCTGAATCAATACACCACCTAACTCTKTAGCACATTTAGCYAACTTCCATTTATGTGTCAATTGCAAAGGATAGTTGTCAGTGGGAGCACCTGCTTTTCTCAACCTCTTCTTCTACAGTGCCTGGGAAGAAATGACACCAATATGGGTCCATGATAAGACTTCTGTCCTCTTTGACATATCCATTTGTGGTGTATAGAATGTTTAGACTGCCTTTTTATTTATTTTTTTTTAGTCAGCTTTTCTGCTTCTGTGACTCAAGGACCCTTTCAGAGGTCCCAATCCATAGACAGCAGGTTCCATTCCTAGGGGCTCAAAGTGAGGCAGGGCATCATGACAGAAGACTGTGGCAGAGGCAATCAGCTCACATGATGATTAGAAAACAGAGAAAGAGGTCTCTACTCACCAGTTACAAATGTATACTCCAAAGAAACGCCCCCAATTCCCACCCCCTCCAGCTATACCCTACCACTTTCCACTCAGTTAATACTTAACAGGGGATTAATTCACTGATTGGATTAACATCAACACAACCTTCTTYTCTGAACCTTCTTGAATTGCCTCACACATGAGATTTTGARGGACACCTCACATCCAAACCATAACAATTATTTTTTATAAAACTTGCCCAAGCCACATTTAGTAAGTACTATGGCATACTGGGAGCTTTTGCAACTCCCCTGTCTTTGACTGTCTAGGGAAGAAGGCTTTCAGAGACTGAATAGGGCTTAATCCAAGTGAAATATTGGAGTAATAAGATTCTTCCTGATCTCTGAGACTGGCATTCATTCAGTCAACAAACATTTATTGATAATCTACTAGGTTCTAGGTCAGAGAATGGCTGATTAGTAAAAACCAAGAGAGGTTTCCAGGAGTGATGTTTAAATGACATGAAAACATTAATCGAAGCAGGAGAGAGCAGGTCCCAGTGATTATCACATTGTACTGCCATAGTCAGGCTCTCTTGTCAGGTCAGCTTGACTGTGCATCTGGCAGAATCTGGGACATTTAAATGAACCATCTAGAATAAGTACCAATTAAAGCATTAGGGTGGCTCAGCATTGTCAGCTTCCAGCTTGCTTGTTCCCATGGTAAGTACTGAGTTCAGCATGGCTGCCAAAATGCCATACAATAGTCTACTGGGCTATGTGTGCTCCAAAGAGCAGAGAACAGCAACCTGTCACTCCAAGAAAGGCCAGTCTAGAAGCCAATCTATAAAACAGATTGTTGTTAAAAAGAGAAAGTGACACTAGTGCTTTCAAAAACTCCCCATCGCAGAGTGGCCACTTTATTTCCACCCTAAATGTTTTACTCAGGTTAGCATAACTATTTTGTCAAATTACATCAATATTTCTCTGGATTGATATAATACAATACAAGATTATTATTTACCTCCCCATGTTAGTTTTCTATTGTTGCTATAAAAAAGAGCTACAAATGTGGTCACCTTCAATGTCTGCAGGACTAATTCCTTCTGCAAACTAAAGGGAGGATCCATTTCCTCACCTTTTCCAGTTTCTAGATGAAACCTGAATTGCTTGGCATGTGGTCTCTTCTCTTCATTTTGAAAGTCAGTAATCACTCCAACTTCTTATTCTGCCATAACATCTTTTCCAACTCTGAGGCCCTGTCTCCTTCGTTCCTCATAATAACTCTTGAACTTACATTTGGCCCACCTGGATATTCCAGAATAAACTCCCTGTCACGTGATCCTTAATTTAATCATATTTCCAAAGTTCTTTTTACCATAAAAGATAATATAGCCATGGGTTCTGGGGATTAGGATGTAGATGTATTGGTGGGTCATTTTTTTTCCCAATGATACTCATGAAATATCCAGTTGGGTATTTCTGGATAGTTAGAATATTATCTTCTTGGTGACTTTTAGAGTCAGGCTTTTTTCCTCATGGAATGCCTCTGAGGTCTCCTTTTAGCAAGCAAAAGGGTAAGGGAGTTAAGGAAGAACAATCCAAAATATACCGATTTAGCATATTAATTATTTAAACTGAAGGTACAGTAGAGATAGCAATTGCATAAAAGGCCATCTGAACTGCCTGTTCTTAGCTGTACAAGCCATAAGATTCCTATAGAATGATGTCTTCCCTGTACCAATATGAGGAAAATACCCTCATCAGCAGAGACTGGGAATCAATGTGCCAATAGACATACACAAATAAACTTACTAAAATAACCCATATCTTCAACTAGATTTACAGATCAGACTTCCCCCAGAATTTATTGCCCTTCCCCCCTACCCCTTTGTCTTGTCACTTCTGCAAACTTCATTTTTTTTGTCTGAAAAATATAGTCACTTTCTACTTAGGCCATTTCTTTGGGTCTTTTTTCTCTCTTATGAGGGTCTTTGTGTACATGTAAACGTGACTAAAACCTATACCTTTCTTCTGTGATTCTGTCTTGTGCCACTGTGTTTTCTAAACCCAGCCAAAAATTCATGCTAAGTGAAAAAGCCAGACTCAGAAAATCAAAGGTCAAATCAAAAATCAAAGGGCAGTTCAGATGGCTTTTTATGCAAAGCTAGAGCAAAATAAGGGAAAAAAGCCAGGTGTGTGTGTGTTTTGGGCGGGGGCGGGGGGGGCGAGATTGGACACCATAAAGATATAGGAAAGATCAACAAAATTGCTATAGGAGAATGAGAAGAAGGAAAGGAAGGAAAGGGGAATATAAGATGAATTTAACAAAATCCTGCTACAGTTATATGTAAATATATCAAAGGAAATTTCACTTTTATGTACATGTAAAAGAAAGGAAGCTTCATAGAGTAGAGGAAGGAGAATAGCAAGAGGGAAAAGGAGAAGAAAGGGGGATATAAATGAGGTTTGAAATCAAATTCCTCATTATTTTGTCAAAATGAACCCAATTACTACATATAATTGTAATGCTCTAATAAAAATGTTAGAAAAGAACTAATTGAATGATTTTCTTCTTCATATTGGTTCCCTATCATTCTTGTCGCTTTTATACCTGGGGGAATACAGATAAGGTCACATACACACATACGCGCAAACACAAATACACATAGAAATAGAACTAAGATGGGTGGGGATGATCTTTAGCCCCCTTTGCAAGGAAAAAAGAAGGGAATGAATATTCATAAATGCACATTTTTTATATATTAGTATCAGGAATGGCTACTCCCCATAGTAAGTGGCCCTCTAGCAAGACATTTGCTTCTTGTCCTCACAAAGTGTTGTTTTTC